GAGAAAGGTTTAAAAGACATAAGATTAATTGGGAAGATCTAAGGTACATGCAATTAGAATCCCAGAGAGACATGAGGTAATGGGAAAGGTCCAATGTTTGAAGAGCACTGTCTAAACCTTATGAGGTTACATGAATCCTACAAGCCCAAGTAGGATGAAATACGAGACATCCGAACAGAGACATCGTATATTAAAACTTCTGAAACTAAAAGAGAAAAATCTTCAAAGTAGTATGAAAATCACATTGTTTTAAAGTCATAACAATAACCTGATAGCAAATTTCAACAGTGATAAAGACCTTTTCACACACAAAAAAATGTCGTTAGCCCCCCCCAAAAAAGAACCCTCTCATCATCAGACCCTCAGTAAAGGAAATGGTGCTCAAGCAGAAGTCCATTAGAAGAGGTGTAAGAAATAATAAAACGAAAACTCTCAAAGGTATGGGTAACACTGAATACATTTTCAATATCTAAGCTAATGGCTTTTTGGATAAAAAAATGTATTAAGAATAAAAACAAATCCATGATTCATATTATATAAATTGAGAGGAGGATAAATTGAAATAAAGTGATTGAAGAACTTTAATTGTCAGGGAAAAGTGTAAAAAGTACTAATTAGCAATAGATTTTTATGTAGAGAATGCATGCTGATTGAAAATCATAAGCATTGTTGCTGGGGATGTTACAATAATCTTGCCAATTGGCAAAACAATTTGACAGTCTCATATGAAGTTAAGGATATGTTTGCCATACAAGCTTGTAATTCTATTCCTATATATTTATCAAGAAAAAAAATGAAAGCATATGTTCACACAAAGCCTTGTATGGAAATCATCACCATGATTTTACTCATAATACTGAACATTGGAAACGATCCAAATGTTCAATAATAGGTAAATGGATAAACAGATTATGAAATATCAATGCAATAGAATACTACACTTCAATGAAAAGAAATGAGTTCTTGAAAGAGGCAATAACATGAATGAACCTCAAAACTATGTGGAATGAAGGAAGCCAGACAAAAGAATAACACTGCATAGTATTTATATGGAAATCTAGGGTGAAAGAAATCCTGTAAGTAGGTACCTGGGCCTGGGGAGAGGGATGGAATGGGCACAAATGGACCCTTGGGGTTGATGGAAATATCTCTAGATGAAACTATACGTGATACTTACCAGGAAAGTTGGAGTAAGGTATAACTAGATGGGAGACATCTCAAAGGATCCCTGGGTTACCACAGGACTGTGACACTGTAATGGCATAGGGAGTGGAGATTAAGGAAGATATGAACCCCCATTTTTCAACCACTTGATCCTAAGATATGAATGAAGAAACAACCATGCTTTGAGTCTGAAACAATGTACACAAGTCAGATTTTAGTTAAGACAAAAAGCGTGCACTCAGAGACCAAAAACTCAAAGCTCACTGCCATCGAGTTGATTGCGACCCTATAGGACAGAGTAGAACTGATCCTATGGGTTGCCAAGACTGGAAGTAGAAAGCCTTCTCTTTTCCCTGTGGACCAGCTGGTGGTTTCAGACTGCCAACCTTACGGGTAGCAACCCCCTCCTCCACCAGGGCTCCTTGCATTCAGAGAAGGGCTTGTGAATTGATGGTCGTAGAGTAAGAGTTAGCGAGTTGAAGGATTAGGGAGAAAGGTGGTAGATAAAGTATGGGAGTTAAAGGTAGATTTGGTAATGCACTTTATAAGACAGGATTAAGCCTGACTGAAAATGAGTCCACACAAAGCCTTGCCCTTGTGGTTATGTCTGGGGTCAAACAAGTATATGAAGCATGATTAATTCTGAACATCTCTCTATTAGAATCTTTTCAAGTCTTGATCTTTAGTTATATAGCAAACCTATAGGCAAGGTTGAAGCAAGATGGAAAAAGAGACTGGAGACTGAAGCACGTGTGACCGGGTATAGCTAATAGAGGTAGTGCCTTATCTGATAGCTCTTTCTCCACAACAGCTTTAGGCCACCCCTCCCTCCTTTAAGGGCTTCTCTTGGGACTTCATTCCATACCTTACTGGATTCAGGCAGGAGAATGACATTTCTCATTCTCTTCAGCTTGCTTCTGAACACCTTGCCTTCCCCAAGTCTGGATGTCTTTGGGGAACATTTGTCTAACTTCATCAAAATTCTGGAAGATAGAGGCAGTAGGGATTGTTCATCCATAAATGGGGAGAATGAAGGCACTGAGAGATGAGAAGATTTGCCCAAAACAGAGCAAGTAAGTGGCAGACTGTATGACATCTCACTTCTGGTTTAGTGCTCTAAACTAGAATATTATTGCCAGTGATCACAAAGTCATCATCATAATATTATTAATAACAATGTGGTTACAATATACTAATAATAAGTTCTCCATGACAGTCTTGTTAATAATAACAACAGTGAAAATAATGGTATTGTTAATTTAAAAACTATTTTAAAAACATGTCAATAGTTCTAGGTCTAACTGTTCGCCTTTGTGGCTATCCCCCAACCTTTCTACAGAAGATGAACAGGTTAAACAATCCCAAGGAGACAGCAACAGGATTGACTGTTAGAGGGTGGGGAGATAGGGAAAGGGAACAGTGAGCCAATTACGTCAGGGATGGCGGAATACCGAGGGATTTAAAATCGCCTGTGAGGAGGGTGAAGTGTCCCTGGGGGTGTTTGATCAATTGTAATGTATCCAAGAGAATTCTGAGAGGCAAAGGAGGGCTATGCATATTTGTGGGGCAGGAGGAAAGAAAAACAGAAATAGAGAAACAACAAGGAAGTATAAATACAGTTATAAATATAGATATGTATATATGTAAAGATATAAATATATAAAGATAGTTGTATTTATATATATTATGTATATAGAAATAATTACACTAAGGAAGCAGATAGGCTTTGGGCCTCTACGTAAATCCTGCTTCAGTACAAGAACGGTTTGTTCTAATAATGTGGCAGTGTTGGATACTCATCTTCCCAACATGATCGCTGAAGACAAAATGGGTACGCAGGCAAATGTGCTGAAGAAAGCAGATGGTGCCTGGCTATTAAAAGATATAGTATCTGGGGTCTTAAAGACTTGAAGCTAAACAAGTGGCCATGTAGTAAGGAAGCAAACAAAGCCCCCATGGAAGAAACATACCGACCAGTGTGATCATGAGGTGTCCATGGGAAACAGTATCACAGGTTCAAAAACAAGCAATCAAACTGACATGAAGGAACATAGGCAAGGTGGAGACTCAAAGCTCATCTGTAAGACAATTGGACAGTCCCTCACAGAAGGGCCACACAAATGGGATGATATCTCCAGGGTGCAATATAGCACTAATGAAACACACAACTATACTCTAGTTCTTTAAAATACCCTCCTTCCACTATTATGGCTCTGATTTTACGTCACTAATCTTGCTAGACCTGCAGATATGTACATTGGTACAATCAAGGTCTTTCAATGCACGAAATCCAAGAGAGATTATCCCCTCAGAAATAGGGAGTATGGATTTCTTATGGATACAGGAAGAGAGGGGGTGTGGGGGGAAGAGGGAACAGATATCTATGATGGCTGTATAACCCCAATCGAAGGAAACGAACATCAGAATTTAAGGAGAATGGATACATGGTTGGTGTAAGTTAAGGCAAAATAATAATAATATATAATACACTGAGGGTTCAGGGGGTGGTAAGGTGGGAGAGGGAAGGGATAAAGCGAAGCTGATATCAAGTTCAAGAAGAAAATAAAATGTATTGAAAATGATGAGGGCAGCAAATGTACAATAATGCTTGATCTAATGGAACTATGGATTATAATACTATCTGTAGAAGCTCCTAATAAAATGTTTAAAAATAAAACCAACATCAAACTCACTGCCATCGAGTCAATTCTGACTCATAAGCGAATCTACAGACAAAGTAGAACTGCTATTTTGGGTTTCTGAGACCAAATTTTTATGGAAGTAAATGGCCTCCTCTTTTTGCCTTGGAACGACTGTTGCTCTATAACAGGTAATGTAGTATGGACTCTTATAAACCTTTTCTCATTGGATGCTGCAACACATTTCTGAGTCTGATATAATAATATCCATTTTATGTAAAACACCTTTCTCAAGGTCACATTGCTAGTCACTAAGATTGTCCGGACCTCAGTCTAGTTCAATCTGACTGAAGCTGATACCGTTGACCACAGCACCGTGTGTCTCATATGTATAGTATAAATGATGGAAATACAACAGTGAAATAAGTCCAAATGAGCTCCAGAATCTGATGTAGCTACAGAACAAAGTTTCTGCATAATCAGAAGTGTGTCCAGAATGAGGAAATTGAAAAGGCTACTGGACTCAGACCAAATCTGGAGTCGGGGTTTCCATTCTGGGCTGTTCAGTAATGAACTCCAGGCCGGGGAAGAAGGAGGATGGAGAGATGTAACCACCACCTGGAGATGAGCAGGTTCATGAGGAACCAGGGGCACCCTTTTCAGGGCGGGAGAGGAGGGAGCAGGCTTTTCTGTCTTGTGTATTTAGAATTAAAGTCTTGGATTAGTCAATGGGCTGGGAATTAGAAATAATAATAATAATAATAATAATAATAATAAAACAATTTCTCTTGTGATGGAACCAGCCCCTTCCTGTTCAATAGAAATAATTAAGCAGAGACTAGAAGACACCTGTGAGAAGCCTGTTTGGGCAATCCCTATGCTAATTGGGATGGAGCCATTCAGTTGTTTGTTTGTTTTTTAATTTAATTTTATTTATTTATTTTTCTTTTTTAACATTTTATTAGGGGCTCATACAACTGTTATCCCAATCCATACACACATCAATTGTGTAAAGCGCATTTGTACATCGTTTCTCAAAACATTTTCTCTCCATTTAAACCCCCGACATTAGGTCCTCATTTTTTGATTGATAGTCTTTCTAAAATTTTTAGCAGAGTGTAGGAAATTGGCAATCTCAATCTCATAAGCCTTCAATGTTTTCCAGTAACAACTGATTCTCATCTTCTCTCTCCCCAGGTGTTACCACTGTACTCACCATGACCACCTTGAGTATCAGTGCCAGAAACTCCTTACCTAAAGTGGCATACGCGACGGCCATGGATTGGTTCATAGCCGTCTGTTATGCCTTTGTATTTTCTGCGCTGATTGAATTTGCCACTGTCAACTATTTCACCAAGCGGAGTTGGGCTTGGGAAGGGAAGAAGGTGCCAGAGGCCCTGGAGACAAAGGTGAGATACAGCAAGAGAGGGTCCGAGAAGTATCCCCTGAGAGAACTGTATTGGGACCAGGAGTGGGCAGCCTGCAGCCTGCAGGAACTGGACAGGGCTATATGCTGTTCACTGGGGTCATAAATCCATTTCTCAACGGGAGTGCTTCTTGGCAATGTGGGCTATCAGCTGAGGACAAAGCAAAGAAAGCAGGCCTCGTGGAGGGCTGCTGCCTTGGGGTGGAAAGTGAAACCTTAGTTTCATAAGGAAAGACTGAAGGGGAATCCACTGGTACTTACCAAGTCACTTGTAGAATGGACTCCATTTTCACCGCAGAGAACACTCTCTACAGCCACTTCTGTCCTCACACCTGGGTACATTCACATCATAATCACCCCACAGTGAGAGCCATTCCTGCTGGGCCTTTATTCATTCTGTATTCTCTACCTGAAATGCTCCTTTCTCTTTTCTGTGCCTCATTCTCCAAGATGCAGATGAAACAGTACTTTCTTCATAAAGCCTTTCTAGACTCCTCTGGACAGATTTGGCTCTTGTTGCAAAGCTGGCTACATACCATTTTAAAAGTATCTGTTTGCATTACAGTTACTTGTCTGCCTCCTCTCTAGACTATGGACTTCTTGCGGGCAGGGTCTGGTCTGCCTCATTGCACCGCATCTCTGAATAAATGGCAGATGGGATTCCAAAACCACTCTAGTTCTCTCTGAAGAATTATAGGGAAGAGCAAAAGTTCTAAAGATTTTTCAAAATGGGGAAATATGAATTTCATGGAACATGTAATAGTCACTTAGCAAAGTGTTAGGGCAGTACTCTCCTGAATCTGAGGGACACGTTATTTCCATTCTACACTCCTATGTCTCGTCAGATTATGTATTAAGTGGAGAGGCAAAGTAGTCCTTTTGAGACCTGTAAGAACTGAACATCTCTATCATATCCTGCCTTAGAAAAATATTGGAGAATATTTCTGTAAGAGAAGGAACAACAAGGGAACTAAAATCAATGGAGAGAAGAATGTACAATGCCTAGTGGGGCTTAAACAAAGGCAATGTAACAGCGAGGAATTATTAAACCCGAATGATAGCTGAATGTGATAGTGGGACAAGAGGAAAGTAAAAGGCAATAGAGGAAAGAACCAAGAGGCAAAGGACATTTATAGAGGTCTAGATCCATGCATGCACATCTATAAATATATGTATATATGATGATGGGGAAGTAGATCTGTGTACTTATATGTTAAGAATTAAGGTAGCAGATGGACATTGGGCCTTGACTCAAGTACTCCCTCAACACAAGAACACTTTGTTCTAATAATCTGGCATTCTGTGATGCTCACCTTCCCTACATGATCGCTGAAGACAAAATGTGGTGAAGAATGCTGATGGTGCCCGGCTATCAAAAGATATAGCGTCTGGGGTCTTAAAGGCTTGAAGATAAACCAATGGCTATCTAGCTCAGAAGCAACAAAGCCCATATGGAAGAAGCACATCAGCTTGTGTGATCATGAGTTGTCAATGTGATAAGGTATCAGGTATCTAAGACCCAGAACAAAATCATGCCAATGTAAAGGGGGCGGGGATTGAGGAGTGGAGACCCAAAGCCCATCTTTAGACAATTGGACATCCTCTCACAGAAGGGTCACAAGGAAGAGATGAGCCAGTCAGGGTGCAGTATAGCACCGATGAAAAACACAACTTTCCTCTAGAACCTTAATGCTTTCTTCCCCCCACTAACATGATCTCAATTCTACCTTACAAATTGGATTAGACCAGACCATGCACACTGCTACAGATAAATGCCCGCAGCACAGGGAATCCAGGATAGATAATCCCCTCCAGGCCAACAATGAAAATAGAGATACCTGGAGGATAAGGGGAAGGTGGGTGAAGAAAGGAGCAATCAATCACAAGGATCAACATATAAGCCCCTCTCAGAGGGACGAACAACAGAAAAGTGAGTTAAGGGTGACAGAGGACCATGTAAGATATGAAAAAAATAATCTATAACGTGTCAAGGGTTCATGAGGGATGGAGGGCTGGGGGAGGGAGGGGGAAATATGAGGAGCTGATTGATACCAAGGGCTCAAGTAGAAAGACAATGTCTTGAAAATGATGATGGCAGCATATGTACAAATGTGCTTGACACAATGGATGGATGTATGGGTTGTGATAAGAGAATGTAAGAGCCCCCAATAAAAGTATTTAATAAAAAAATAAATAAGAGAAGGCAGTAACACATAAAGGAAAAAGGCATGAGATCCATGAAAGGTAGTGTACAACCAAGGCAAGAAGTGAAGTCCTAAACAGCAAGCCTCATGAGGAACCAGTTCAGTTTGGAGCAGGAGGCTAGGCATATTGATGACTGAACGAAAAATACTGCTGTAATTGTATGGGAGGATGGGGACAAGGTGACATATGTGGGGTAAATCATCATTTATACCCTTCAGTGAATGATCCCTCTGCTTCCTTTCTTTTTATCATGAAAAGACAATTGGCAATGTGCAAAACTGCTGAGTATAAGCATAGTGTAATACAAACTAAATGAAAAAAAACTACATTTATCAAGGAGATACTTATTCTTAGAAGTGCCTTTAAAGTATTAATGATTGTTTACCTATTTTCTGGAAACAGTGTTCCTTCAACTATCTTACTTTCACATAAGAAAACCGTAACATCTTGCTCTAGAATAATATTTTATCATATTTTACAATGGATAAAATGTTCAACTTCCATATCTTAGACAAGTTTTTTTCTTATCATGGTTGACTTTTGTTTCTAAGGGACATTCCAGCTACAATTTGAGTCGCCCCCTGGTCTTTTTCCTGTGAGCTAAGAACATTCAGTGTGGGGTTCAGCTTTATTCATAAACTAGCGGTCCTCCCACCGTGTTCTACAGTAGGCATTAATGCCCTGACGTCATACTATATAACTGGTAAATTGATGGAAACAAAGCCTAACAGCAGTCCTATTGACACATGACCTCAGCAGTCAGGAATGGCAACTGATTGAGAGAAGTTAAGGGTGTCCATAGATGCACTGAGCACCGCACCAAGTGCTGAGTGTCATAGGGAAGAGAAAGCGAAAAGAAATCCTCCTGAAAAAAAGAAAAGAAATCCTCCTCCATTAAAAAAAAATGTATCTACCATCTGACTGTTTCTCGAGGAAATGATTTCTTCAGCGGACCTTGCAAAGGGATGGCGCTCCTTCATTGCCTTCTACCTACTTTCAATTTTCTCCTATGCCCTGTGTCAGCTGCTTTATCATGGATGCTCATCTCATTTTCTATTTTTCTTCATCATCTTCCCAACATCTTTCTAGCTACATGGCATTGTTTACAAACACTTCAAATTCCCATCATCCTCCTGCACTTGGACGATCTAATGGAATCTATAAATTAGAATTAATTATGGTCAGCTCAATCGAATGAGGTCTGGATTGTCCCAACTGACAGGCACTGGTATATAGCTTCTGATACTGCGCAAGGATGTTGGAAATGAACCAATCTCATTGTACGCTTGATCTAGGCTTTTTTTAGAAAGACCCTGAGACTAAGCCAGACAATAGTAGTAATCCAAAGGAGACTACTAATAGTAGTAATCCAAAGGAGCCTACTAATAAATTGTATTGCAGACATATGTTCTACAGGTCTCACCTCCATGCCATCCTTGGTTACCACTCAACTTGTTGTTTCCTCAATGGTTCTTTACTCATGTCTTATCTTTTATATTCTTCATTGAATGATGCCTCCGCTTTCCATCTTAACTGACACCCGATTAACAACAGAGACCTTTTTCCACTGAGGCCCAGTCAAAGCTGTTTAACTTCCGACTTTGATTTTTCAAGAAGTGAAGTTCACATCCCCTTCTCCCCAGTACTGATATCAAACTATGACACTTTTATATTCAGAAGTCTCCTTTGAAGCTCCAACTTTTGACTTGGCTTCTCATACATTAGGATTTCTGTTTTTTTCTTTTTCTACTTGGTTATTTTCCATTGCCTTACCATCGCCTTCTTGATATTTAAATGTTGAAGTCCCTCAGGACTCCGTATTCAGACCTCTTTCTTCTGCCCAGAAGTCAAAGTGATTATTTTAAATTATAAGTTAGAAACTTTTTTTTTCTCAAAATACTTTTAATGGCTTCCTACCACACTTAGGTCAAAATCCATAGTCATTATCATGGCCTTCAAAGTGTTACGCAACCTGGTCCCCAGATACATGATGTTACCTGTACCATCCCTTTCCTGTTCTGTTTTTGGACTCTTTTTCCGCCTTTTTTTCCCATTCACTTCACTCAGGTCACGGTGGCCTTTCCGAGAAGCCTTGAACGAGTCATCCTCGTTCCAAACTGAGATGGTTTGTCCGTGCTCCTTTTTCTCTGGGGGAAATTTTGTTGTTAGAATGTTTTTGTGCTTCTTGGCTCATATTATTCAGGTCTCTCTGTTCACCTTCTCAAAAAGTCTTTCTCTTACCACTCTTCTTTAAAATAGCCGTCACCAGCATTCTCCACCTGGCCCAGCTATATGGGCTCCGTCCTACTCATCACCTCCTGGCATTGCATTGCAGTATGTCTTCAGAGGCTTCCATTTTGAACATAGGTGCCCTCCCCTGGAATAGAATTTCCTTGAGGACGGGGCCATGCTCTCCTATTCACTGCTGTCTCCCAGCACCTAGCAAAGTATCTGCCACATAGTAGACACTCATGAGATATTTGATAAATGAAGGAGCAACCTCTACAGTTTCTCTGAACCTACGATTGCCTCTGATTTCTTCTTGCCTCTATCTAGCTTGACTACCTACATCTCTTTCATCTGCCTCCTCTCTAAAAATGTCCCACAGCCATGGATATACTGTGGACCTTTATGAGCTGATCATTTTCAAGTCTGCGAGTTCTTCAGCCTGTGCCTGAAGTCTTTCTCTGTGTCCCAGATCCATTCTGCCATCTCTTTCCCACAACATGTACCTACTGTATGTACTCGTGGATAAGCCGAGTTTTCCGGCTCATTTTTTATGCGTTTTTTGGTGGTAAAATTAGGTGCCTCGGCGGATCTTAGGGTCAGCTTATCCTTGAGTATATATGGTACCCTGAATCTTGACCTCACTCATGAGAAAGACAGAGCAGCCACTCCCGCAGATGTGCCTCACATCTGCTGTGTCACCCTCCTCCCCAGTACTTCCTCCACATTTTTGCCCTGGTCCTGGAGTCACTCCCTGCGTGTCCTCTGGATACTTCTTGTCCTCACAAGAAACTGGTTCAAGTGATCACTTTTCTTTCAGCCGTATGTTCTCGCCTTTTTATGGGCTGACTGGATCTATCCAAATCAAGCTTGCCTCTTACCTCTCTGAATTGCCCTGACTTTTGCCTCTTTGAGTGATTCTTGCATTTTCTCCCCCTTATATTTTAGTTCTCTTATTTTTATAAAGCTTCCTGGGGGTAGGGTCTCAGATTGATCTTTGAATCGACAAAGCAGACCCTCTGTTGCTCTGCTCCACCTCTGAACAATGAGGTTCAAAGAGCTGAGTGGGCATGTGGGTTTGACACAGAAGTGCCGGGCCATATCTTCATAGGCCTCCGAAGTCTCGCCTGAGACTGTAATCCATACGGTGATGCCCTTCTAGACACAAAGTTGATAAGAGTGCTACCTGAGAACGAAATTCTGGAGTTGAGGTTGCGTTGGTCAATGAAAGTGTTCACTGCCACCTCCCCAATGCCACCAGTGGTAGTTCCCTAGGAGGAAAAGTATCCTTGTAACAGCGTCAAATGGCCTGGGGAATTTAGAGGAGTCCAGGTCAGCTTTCTGATGTGAGAATGCCCTAAGACTGACTACAGAGATTCTCCGGGTATAGGAAAGCTCACACTTTCCTAAACCAAATGAGTCAATGCTGACTCATAATGGCACCCTGTGGGTTTCCCAGGCTGTCACTGTTATGGCAGTAGAAAGCCCAGTCTTTCTCCTGCAGAGCTGCTAGCCATTTCAAACTGACGACCATTCAGATTGTAGCCCAATGTGTAACCACTACACCACCAGCACTCCTACCTCAAGGCTTAGGTCACAGCAGTTCTCAATCAGGGGCCACCTGATTCCTAACAGTAGCAAAATGACAGTGATGAAGTAGCAACAAAAATAATTTGATGGTTGAGGGGTCATCACCACATGAGGAACTGTATCAAAGGGTCGCGGCATTAGGAAGGTTGAGAACCACTGGCTTAGGAGGAAACAATCTCGAAATCACCCCAAGAATCTTCAATGTGGGTGAGAGAGGGTGCTGGGCCGTGGGCATGTCATTTTTCTCATTCAGTAAACCTCCATCCAGATAGTTGCCTAGGGAGCTAGGAATTGAGTGAAAACTTGATCAAAGCTAAATCCATCTAGTCTCTACCAAATTCCAGAGCAAGGAGATGGATCAGAAAAGTAGATGTAGAACTGGGGGAATCCAACCCATTCTTCCCTGTTGCTTGTCCCTCTCTTCTCAACACTATAACACTCACTTGGGGTTTCTTCCTTGACAATTTCCATCATAAGTGTAATGGTTGGTGAAAATGTGTCACGTGGGCAAGGGTGAAAGAAATGCAAAGGAAATTTTATGTTCTTCTTAAAAAAAAATAAAAATCTATAACTAAAGCAACCCCTGCATCGCATTGCCCCACGTGAGGACCATATAGTGCCTACAGAGCTAAGGAAAGTTTTCTGTTCACAATGACTCCTTGGCAGATGCGGTCTTAAGCAGCTTATGAGCCGACTCCATGAATGAGTACACACGAAAGCTTTTAGCAAAGGCAGGGTGGTGGGTTTTCTCCTTTGTTTTTTTCCTTTTGTCTTCCCATAAGGGGCAAGGGCATTCTAAGCAAATTAATCAGTAAGCAGGCAAACAAGTATTCTTTCATTTAATAGCAAAGGCATTTAGCAGCAGGACTCTATTCACACGATGAATTTGCTAATTATAAATGAGTCCCATGTAGTAGTTAAGCATTTACAAGGTTCTTAGAGTTCTGTCCTCTTTCCACTCACAGCATTGTGACTGCAATTGTCAAAGAGAAGGAACAATATTGTTTTTAAAATGTCCCATTAGTCAGACTGTTCCTTTACCTAAGCCGCCGCCGCCTCCCCCCTCCCCCTGCCCATCCAGCCCTCTCCCCCCTCCTCCTCTGCTGAAAACATTGATGCCAGTCCAGGCAGACTGAGCCGGTGAGCTCAGAGGACCAGAGCCTTTCAGACGGAGCCTCTGCTTGTGGCTCTTTGCCTTGGACTCTGTGATCCAGCCATATCAAATTCCTCCTCATCCCCCAAACAGTACCCACAGCCTGGCCACTGGCTTGGCCCTGCTGCCTCATCTCATGAGCTTTGTGTTCCAACTCAGAAGGCCCATTGCCTTCTCTGAGCTGCCTTGTTCATCACTTGCAAGTACTTTGTCCTTCCCTCTTTGGAACTGCCATCGCACTTTGAGGGTATTGGTTAGCCTTCTGATCCCATTTTATGGCAATGATCTGTCTGCATGGCTGTCTCCCTCACTAGACTGTGGACTGCTGAAACGTACTCATTTACCAACTTTTCCACCAATCCCTACCTACCTAGTGTAGTTCTTGGTCCAGGAGCACCAGCCTTGGGCGCCATCTGCCATTGACCTTAACTTTGAGGAGGCTGGATAGGGGCACAGAAGCTTGTAGCTCATCATAGGAGACCAGCTTGGCGTAAATGTGGCTTGAGGCAGCTGCTCTCCTTGACATCAGCACAAGAGAATGTGGCGTCTAATTGACTTTAGATTTAACTGGCTGATGCTATTTGCGCCAGGAGCTCACTGGCCGTCTACTTTGCTAATTAGCACTCGTTAAACGAACATCCCCAGATCTCCTCCCACCAAGAGGCAGGGAGGGAACTGGCATCTGCCACCATAGTTTCTCCAATAGGACTGCAGTGTAGTAAATCCATGACCCAATGCCAAGGTGCTGAAGCCATCACTAAGCATTCAGGGGACAAAAGTTGGTATTTGGAACAGGGTGGTGAATGACAGAAAAAGGGAGAAAAGATAAGAATCACAGGAACCGGAAGTGAAAAAGAAAAGAAATAAGAGATAGGAGAAAGATGTTAGTGAGAGAAGGTTGGAATAAAGAATCCCACGGAAGAGAAAGTCAGTCATTGAGGACCAAGGGGCCAAGCACAGGGTAACAAGGTAACATCCAGAAATGTGGGTGAGATGTGTTGCTTCGTTCTGCACCCTTGTCACCATCATGGGTACGCTCTAGGTCCTTGCAGTCACTGTCTCCTTGGAGTGCCTACCAGCCAAAGCCCACTGCCATCGAGTGGAGTCAATTCAGACTCAGAGCCATCCTATACAGGGTTTCTGAAAAAAGAAACCTTTACGGAGCTGGCAGCCTCGTCTTTCTCCTGGGGAGCAACTGGTGGATTGAAACCCCAGGGTCTTAGGTTCCCAATCCGGTGCTTCCCCACAGCACCACTAGGGCTTTTTGCCTTCCAACCTAGAGGGCACATCCCCCCTCCCTCCCCCCCACCGCCCCCGTCCCACAGCAAGTTTTCCTGTGGCTCATTTTCTGAAGTACATTGCCAGACTTTCTTCCTGATCTGCCTTAGTCTGGAAGCTCCACTCACTGAAATCTCTCCAACATGGGTGACTGTGCTGGCATTTGAAATTCCTGTGTCTCTAGGCTGATCCAAGCTGAGCTTTGGCTTCTTTTTCCTCTTCTGTATGAAGGGAAGCCCAGTGAAGTTTCCATTGTTCTCATGACAAGTGCATATGTATGAAGCCAATGGGGACATAGGGAGTCGTGTTTGTCTCCCATTGGGTGCTTTGTTTTTTAAACGCTAGAGATGATAGATCCAAAGAACACTGCTCCAAGGAGCTCCCAGCTGCTACCGTTTGCTATGTCAGAGGGGCCCACTTACAGACTCCTTGGGTAGGCTATGGCTTTGGCCTGTAACCTTGCAAGGGTGGAGCACCCCAGCATGCCCCCCACCCCAGCTTGCTGAACACATTTACAGTGCATGGAGGGGCGGATGCTGTGAAAATGATGCATGTCAACATGCCATCGTTTTTATCGTCTCTTTATGGCAAAATGACTTCGTAGACTCACCGAGCTCTCTCCCTCACAGGAGATGTGCCCCTTGATGGTTGCGGTCTTGTGCAGTTATTTCTCAGATAACCAAAAAGTGGCTCGTGTCTGTAGAAAGCAGCACCGGGCAGCCCTGGGTAAAGGTTAGGAGCCCAGGTTGTTGCTAGTTTGGGCTCTGCCACTCAGTGTCAAGCTGAATTGTCTTATCTGTCAAACGGGAATGATCTCCCCCGCCTACTTTATAGAGAGTTGCTGTGAGAATCAAACCATGGGATACGAGAAGGCTTCAGGAAAAAAAAGCCCAGGAAAAAAGTCTATTGTGGTTTCATTGTATTTTACCATGAATTCTTTGCAGCCTTCTTGTACCTAAGACCTGGTATATGACCAGTACCTCATAGTTGACGAATGACTTCCGCAGCCATTCTTTCATTTGACGCTCTCAGCAATGCTGCCATTTAGTTTGATCCTCATTTTACAGATGAAGAAACGGAAGTTCAAAGAGGTGAAGTGATTTGCCCAAAGCCACATAGCTAGGAAGTGGTAATGCCAAGGTGATGCAAATTTCCTCTTTTTAAATTCATCACCAATGATCGCTGGACACAAACCTGGCTCTTCAGTGTGATTGGCTTTGTGGTGCCTGTTTCTGAACTTCCCTCTTGACTCCTCTTGCCTGAAAATGCTGACGGTACTCTATGCAACGTATTAATCCACTTTTGTTTTGTTCCTTCTCCCCTATTTTTTCTGATCCCTAGAAGAAAACACCAGCTGCCCCAACCAAGAAAAGCAGCACCACCTTCAACATCGTGGGGACCACCTATCCCATCAATCTGGCCAAGGATACCGAGCTCTCCACCATCTCCAAGGCTGCTGCTCCCAGTGCCTCCTCAACCCCAACCATCATTGCTTCACCTAAGGCCACCTATGTGCCAGAACCCCCCGCGGAGACCAAGACCTACAACAGTGTCAGCAAGGTTGACAAAATATCTCGCATTATCTTCCCTGTGCTCTTTGCCATATTCAACCTGGTCTATTGGGCTACGTATGTCAACCGAGAGTCAGCTATCAAGGGCATGATCCGCAAACATTAGATAGAAGTGGGGGTCTAGTAACCAGACCACTGTATACCCTGTGAAGCATTCAGGCACCCAAACACCGAGGCCCCTTCCATGTGTTTCAGGATTCTTTTTTAACCATCCACCAAGCAGTGACTCTAAAATATATTTATGAATCTCAATGAAAAACAATAACAATGAAAAGTCATTGTCCCTAAAACAGTGCTGAGTGTACCCCCATCAGAGCCAAACACTGCCATTTGTCCAGTTGCTCATTGAGTCTGCCATTCTCCCCCAGCTAAGGGTACCGCATGCATTTTATTACACTCTGTCCACTGCAAGAATAACAGGATACTCCACTCCCTGGATTGAAAGCCTTGGCTGTTCAAGAGGTCCAGACTGAGAATAATTGACTGGTCTGAACCAGATGATGCTGACTCCCTAAGGAGCCAGGCTGGGCTCATACATGGAATTCTGCCTGCCACTTCCCCAACCTAAAGCAGGGCCCACTAGGCATAAGTACTGATGGTAAAAGCAGGAGCCAGTGATAACCTATGAGTATGCTCCTCCCCACCTTCCCAGCTCCTTTCTTGATTTGGAGATTACTGAGGACAATGGAGGGCCATCACAGATGGCCCACACAGAGAGAGCTAACTGGACAAACCTAGCACCAAGATGACTGGTGGTCTGCCATGACCAGCCTGTCGGAGGTAGAGCCCTCCTTGGTATATCACTCCACTGGGAAAGGCCTCGCGGCTCCATCTCTTTGCCTCCCATAGCCAACGAGGCACTGCCTAATTTGGACTCATTGCCACTTGCAACTCTCCAGGAAAAAGAACCCAGTTCTTTTTTGTTTGTTTGTTTAATTGAAACAACCAAAGCAGGATAAATAGAGAAAAATCCAGATCAAATACCTACACAATAGTTTTAAAATATGGACAAAATAAGGACATCACCTCCCTACCAGGGCAACTAGTGAAACACTATACGAGACAGATGTTTGTGACTGGTGGTAGTTGGGTTTAGTACCTGACTCAAAACAGAGGGCCACTGGGAGCCAACAGTCAAAATCTTCCTTCTGTAGCTGCTACAGCCCCAAACACTGGCCCAGGCCCCCTGTGTCAGACACCTCGGTCCTGTGTTGATGCTGATTCTGGAAGAGATGCATTGGAGATCTGTACCAATCTCTCTAGTGAGTTTTTGAGTCAACTAAATCACTAACTTTGCTACGAGTTGTGTTTTTTTTTTATGTAGTAGTCAGTTGATCTCATGCATTCTTAATCTCAACGGGCACAATTGAGAAGTGTTTGTGAAGCAGATAAACCAATTCCTGGTGCTTGAATGAAACAGAACTGAGAATTCTGGTCCACCTTGAGCTGAGAACCAGCACAATCTCAGTGGGCCTGCTGGGTCTGGAGTGCAGTTAGGTTGGACACCCAAAGAGTATTAGGGAGTCATACGTTGTCACCCCAGGAGACCACTTCTAATAGTCATGGCTCAAATGTTTAAGATGGCAACCAGCCACTTGAGATCTGAATACCTATACTAGTTGCAAGTGGCCCAGAACCCCAGGGTAAAGCTCAGATGCCACCACAAGCAGATACTCCCTGTTCACTTCCTGAACCAAGCTTCTAAGGGGTCTATCACTAGCTTCTGTGATCCATCCTTCCCCCATCTCCTGCTTCCTTGTCATTGCTGGGATAATGCATGCCAATCCCATTCTTTCTAAGACTGTGTCAGTAAGTAAATACGTGAATAGAAGAATCTAGTCTCGTGGATATGTGGGGACGGGGGTGGGGGGTGGGGGTGGGGGTGGGGCTGTTAATGAATGTCTTAAGAAATATAGAATGGAAGCCTGACCTTTGCCTCTCTGTAGAAATTGTGTTTTCAAATGCTTTGGTGCAATGTTAAGTGGCTGTTTATTAAACTCTTTCTGAATTGTACTAGAGAATGTTTTCATTATTGTGCTTTACCTATGAAACTCACAGGCAATACTATAACGTTGGCTTTCACCTCACCTCTTGTTCCACCCCGACGTTCCACCTCTTAGCACTGTGAGAATAGGCTTGAAATAGGGTGTCTCCAGAGCAAGAAGCCTATTACCATGATGCCGAATGGATCCCATGGGAGTTTCATCGCCTAATATGATAGCGAAGGAAACAGCTACCTTTCTTCCTCTGCTAAATTCTCTCACTCCCCCAAATACAGAAAAGTATTGTCATTGCACTTCTAAAGGCGTTCTCTTTCCCATCAATTGCTATTTCTCTTATGTGATAGCTTCCTTTGGTGATAACTGGCAGAGTGGAAGCGTGTGTCAGGTTATTTAAGCAATGTGGTTAGGGAATGAATGGATGATAACCTTGTATTTCTTAGAGATTAAGCTTGGAAATAGTCTCATGAGATATGCTCCTGAGGCATGGGGAGAATCTCCTTGGGAAAGTATTTCACCTCATATAAACGGTTTGCTTCTCTTTAGTAGAAGCACGGACTTGGCCACTCTGACCCTAGCGTCCAATTTCATCCCTATGGTCAGCTGCTGGATGCCCTGAGCTGCAGCCGTCCCATAGTCCCTGGCCAATTCAACCACACCCCAGAGCAGCCACAGCAGGGAAGGCAGCAGTCTGCTTTGTAAAATGGCCTGATAACCACCCTAAAAAGGTTGTTTCCTTGTGAACGTTCTGAAATTGTTTGATTTTGTAAGTCAGCCCCTTAGTCTTAGGGAAAAGCTCAAGGTGTTCCCGTTCAGCAGGCTGGGCTCAGTCAATCTGGACTCCAGTGTTTTACGGTTTTGAGTACATGGGGGGAATACCCCTAAACATTACCAGAGGGTATGAACCTAGAGGCTGCTAGTAGAATGTCTGTTACATGCGAGATGCTAAATGAATATTTCATGAACAAATGAGTGTTCATGTATATCAGAGTTCCTTCAGCGTGGTGGTGTTAGGTGCGTAGCCAAACTGTGGTCATTGGAGATAAATGGGAATAAAAAATGCTAAATGCAGTTTTCTAAAGCAGCTCTAAGAGCATTCCAGTATTAATAAGTGTGCTCTGTTTTAAGTAATTTTAAATAGCTCTTTCCTAGTTGAACAACTGTTTATTCCTGTGGGCTTTTGAATCGGGGGAACTAATTTAATAACATATTAGTACCTAGTGATAAGAGTACTGAGGGTAAGAGAGGATGGCTTACTGGTGCCTCAAACATCAAACTCCAAACAGAGCCTGTTGTCCCATCCCGGATGGCCCTGTGTCAAGAGGATACCTATGGAGGCCTTCCCCATCTGCACTTGGGGAAGAGAGAGACCCTCGAGAACTCCTCAGAATCCCTGAAAGAGATCCAGCAGGAGATGGAAGGAATGGATAGGAGCAAGGAAGAGAAAAGAAGAAATTAGTTGGGAAAGTTACCCAAAAACCTTACTATGGGGGCAAATGTCTTGTCACTAAAGACTAAAAGAGTTTCTGCTTCCACTGATGCCCTTTAGTCAGCGGACATTAAGAGTGTGACCATTTGCTGAGGCAAGGCTGTAGGCAACTGCCCTTATTGACCTGAGAAAGCTTCTCCCCTGGACCTTCGACTCCCCCAGCCTACTTCCCAGTCTCATCAAAGGGCGCCCTGGATCTGTTTTGCCTTGCTGCAGCCTATGGGGAAAGCACTGAGACTGGACCCCTGGATCTTAGCCAGGGGGCACTCCCATCGCCAAGGCGAGGTTGGGCAAGGTCCTCTCCTTTCCTGAGATGGTCCCCACTAGTCAATGGAGGTACCAATCAAAACTACACTTAAAAGAGCAGCTGCCCTGGTGGCCATTCTGCCTTGAGGGTGACCTCACTCAAATTTTCCCACCAACTTACCCCAGGAACATAAACCCTATCTTTCCTTTGGTTCCTAGTGACACAACCCAGGTGGGTTGGCAACATCAAAATAATTTAATGAAGCATCAAACAAGGACAGCTAGGAGGCTGCCTTACAATTATCTATTACTGCTGTAACAAAAATATCTCAAACAGGTGCTTTTAAAGAACAGAAATTTCTGGTTTCACAGTTCTGGAAGCCGAAAGTCTGAACTTAGGGCATGACTCTAGAGAAAGTTCCTTTTTTCCCCTTTCTATTTCAGAATCTAGTAACTGCCAGTAGTCCTTAGACTTCCTTGGCATTCCTTTGTATCCCTCTTACTCCTGTGGTCGTGTCTTTCTCTGTTTTTTTGCTCTTTTCATGAGACCCCACTGAGAAGGGATTAGGTTTAGGACACACTCTACTCCATGAGTTACATTTTGAGCTGAACACCACTAGCCCCTCCTCAGGAGAAAGCCTAGGCTTTCTACTCCTATGTAAAGAGTGATCGACCATCTCAGAAACCACAGGGGGAGTTCTAGTATGTCCTATAGTGTCAATAGGGGTCAGAACTGACTCAATCTCAGAGTTTGGTTTCGGGTACTACTCTGTCTGGTATGAGCTCATTAAGATAACAGAAAACCCCTATTTCTAAACAAGATCACATCCACAAGTTCTGGAGTTAGGATTCTAATACTTTTGGTGAGAATGCAATTCAATCACAACAGAGGCTTCATTGGGGTGGGGAGTGAGTGGGCAGAGGGTCAAACTGTTAAGTCTAGCGGTGTCCTTTCTACTCCCACTCCCCTCATTTCTTTGGCTTGAGCTGCATGTGGCAGGACCTTGGGTAATGAGGTGCAGGACTATTATCTGCCCAGGTCAAATCCCACCATGGGAAAAGCTGAATCCTAAAATTGAGTGATAGTAAGGGGTACCAGTGTTAGGCAAGGGGCCCTCGGGGAAACTGAGTGGGTCGTGTGGGGACAACTCCACTTCCTTTCAACAGGTCAACTCAGAGCACAGAATGCTCTGACTGCCTTGCGACCCAATCAGCAGTCCTCCCTGTACCTGCAGACAATTGTGTCCCAGAACAAAGCATCGCCTCCCTTCTCTCCAAGGCCAGCCGTCCCTCCACTCGTCCTCACTGCTCTTCTCTGCTGCAAGAACACTCATGCTGCTGTCTGCTCCCTCTTGCTGCATCACCACTGGCCTGGTTACTTAACTCTAAAGGCATTGTTCAGTTTTCTTACTTGACCTGTTAGCAGCATTTGACACTGTTGATGACCACTTTACTCCTGAACTTCTCTCTCTGGTTTCCATGACACTCCTCTCTCCCGAGAGCCCTGAGTTTTGCCTGTCACCACTCTGTTTTGTTGTGTGCTTCCTAGTTAGCATCTTCTGTCCCTTCAAGGTTGAGGCCCCAGACAGTGTTTGCTTTTCAGTTGCTACACTCCCCGGGGTGCACTCATCTGTGCTGATGGCTTCACTCACCAGAAGCTCCAATGCCCATTGTGAGCCCAGAAGCTGGCTACCACAGACCCATCCAGATGAGCTTCTTTGGGTAGAGCCACTTACTGGACCCTGGGGTTAGTGGTTCGGTTCCCATGATCCTTTCTCCATTCCTGACAAACTTCCTGAAGATTAAGGGTCTTAGCGTTTTCCCTCTGGAATTTCTTTCAACTCTAGCTGCCCAAGAGTCTTATTCACTCATGCTAGTCCAAATCCCACAGGCTCTTTCTCGGGTCACTTAGGAGTCACAAGAAGAATAGTAATAATAATACTGCTAGACCCCAATGTGGGCCCTTCAGACTTATTGTAGTCTCAGGCAACCCTGACAGCTGCACCATGCTGGGGGCTTAAGAGTGCATTTCATCAGCTTTCCTCATGCAGGTGTCATATGGAGTAACACATGAATCTGGATTTCTCTCCCTACAATCTAGATCAAGCCCGGATCATGCTGGTCCCCTCACTGCCTTTCGGTGAGAGGAGATCTAGAGATGCTTAATGTATACAACACAGACTGAAATAGTTTTTATTGTTTACATGGAGAAAATGTGCAGTGTACATTTTGGGTGCAAACTACAGCAAACTAGGCATTGGAGGGAGGGAAATCCAATGCACTTGGAGTCCCAGAGTCTCAGTGCTGGCAGGGCAAATACTGCCTGCCATGCTTGTGTTTATCCCTTGAGCTGTAATCAGATCAGAGCAAAATGTAATGTATTATCACAATTCTCAATGCAATTAGATGCTTTCCAATATGGGCTGGTAATTTGTGGCTTTCTTTATTTTAAAGTTTTCTTTTTATTATTTCATCTTGATTGTTCTCTGGTAACAAAATCTCTTCCTGGGGAATAAGTCTGCAGTTGGGAGAGAAAGGATACTAGCGTTGTAACAGAACAAATTCTGTGTACAAAACACCTAACATGGAAGGCATTTCCTTCCTTCCACCTCCCTCTTTATCTCTCTACATGCACAGATACAACATAGTGCCTGGAACACAGAAGCAGGGCAGGAATTGACTGTTGAATGAATAAACAAATAAATGTGATGGAAAACCTTTCTCCAAAATGATCTGAGAAGGGGTGAGAGGAATATGGTATCAAATGAAGGAAATGAGTGGGATATAATGGTAGTGAGTATTACGCTGAGTTGACTAGAGAAACAAATCCAGAGACACTTATATGTATGAGAGAGCTTTGATGGGCAATGGGTCACTACTCAAATACTACCTCAACACAAGAAAACTTTGTTATAATAACCTGGCATTTTGTAATGCTCACCTTCCCGACACAATCAGTAAGTCAAAATAGGTGAATAAGCAAATGTGGTGAAGAAGGCTGGTGGTGCCCAGCTGTTAAAAGTTATAGCATCTGGAGCCTTAAAGGCTTGAAGTGAAACAAGTGGCCATCCAGCAGGAAAGCAACAAAGCCCACAGGAAAGAAGCATACCAGCCC